CAAACCTGTATAAATGTCTTTGTTCTGCTGAACACAAAGTAAGATATGAGACCAAACAGTTTTGGGGCACCATTGATTTCCATATAGTAGGAAAAAATACTATGTAAGTCAATGCTGCCCCAAAACTGTTTGGTTATAAGCATTCTTCAAAATACCTTCCTTTGTATTCAGCAGAACAAATACATTTATACAGGTTTGGAACAACTTGAGGGTGAGTAAATGATACCAGAATTGTCATTTTTGGGTGAACTATCCCGTTCATCAGTTAAGTGGGCAGCTGAATTTTGCAGTAGCTAATGCCAAGTTATCCAAATAACTGTAAGATTATCTGGCCCTTATTGACGATCCTGATGTCCCCTGGTCCGTCATGGGCATTGTCTCCTCAATGGATCCTGGGATGAGGGCTTCATCTGCAGCCTGGAGAATGCACAGTAAAAAAATAGATTCAATACTACTCTGGAAATATCAATAATTTAATAATATCTGTATCCTGAGAAATGTAAACTTGAATATAATGAGAAGCAGTTATGGTCAACAGAGACTGATTACAGACAATGGACCTTGACAACGGCCGACAATGGTAACGTCCTGTTCAGTTTCTTATGCTGACACAATATTTAATCTAGCCGACATACAAAGAAAAAGATTACACACATTTCGAAAAACGTTAATATATGATAATTTTCAGACTAAAGCTAGTGTTAACGTTAGCCAAATTGAGCATTAGCACAAACGTTGCTTTTAAAACAATGTTGTTTAATATGACAAGTTTATAAAACCTAAATGAAAATGTGCACATTCAAATGCTGAATGGCTACTCTAAACTGAATTTTTGTTTCATGTTTTAATTACCTCCGTGTAGAGCTCAGATCCCATCCACAGCGAGAGACAAGATGGCGATGAGCTCGAATCGGTTTCCTTCTCAAAGGGGCGGGGTTTCTGAAGAACACATAACTACTTTATTTAGCTTCAACATGACTAATTCTATATGATTGAACATCCTTACAGAATAAATACATGGTGCATGATTAAAATATGTTTAGATGAGAAACATAAATTAATCATGTAGGAAATATGAAATG